AGTAATGGCTGTCACAATTTTAGCAAACGTTGTGTGTGTGGCCAGCGGTTGTCTCAAGCAGCGACTGTCATAACTCTAACTCCACGATCCTACGAGCGTAGCAAAGGGGATCATTGAAATGGAGGATACTCCACTACTCGACATTATCAGACAGACGTAAATGATTCGACGCACATGCCAAGTTGTGAACTAATCAACCGTTCGACATCGGACGGGCGTCTCAGAACTGGAAACAGCGACTACACGTCCTCGTCAAAGGGGCTGCGCCCCTGAGGAATCGCGAACGCTCAGGGACACAAAACTACGAGACTCGTTTCATTGCTCTGGACGTGCCTCGCACCACAACCCCACTCACCCCCAACTGCAGTTTCTTTAAAGGAAAGTTTCGATTGAATTGGGCAAAGGAAATTTGTTTTGAGATGTAGACAGACTCAGAAAGAAGGAGGGAGACAGCGGACTGTTGTGATAGAAAGTTTCCGAGTTTCGATACGCCAAAATAAAGAAGTTTCTTTCATCTCTCTTCTTTGGTATATATAAATCCAATATTGGATAGAAAGAGTTGAAAAAGTATGAAGTGCTAAGCCTTGTCTTCTTTTATTGTGGTCTGAATGTTTTCAAAGAATCAATCACCTCATCAGTCAAAACCTGTTGTATCGGCGAGCCACTTTGCAGGCAAAAGGGGGAAAAAACCACACAATTTTCTGTGAAGCTTTTGTGTCTTGGGCGGTTAGCAGAGCGAACACAACGCGCTGAAACAATCCATCGCAGCCAAAGAATCGATGCATAAAGTTGTAGATAAATTTTATAAAATGATATAATATGCAAATTTGTCGCAAATTCAGCTGAACACACTTTAATCTTGTAGGAGCTGTATTTTGGACTTTGCCCATTGTCTGCATTTCAACAAAGTTACTCCACTTCGGAAGCAGGACTGTCCAGTCGAAGGATCGTCAGTCTTCGAGGATAAAGGACCTCGTTCGATCTCGTTTGTCGACTTGTGGACCGCGGGTTATAAGCAACCACGATTTACGTTAAAAACAAGTTCACATATTACTCACTAATTATCTTTCGCTTGTTAATTTGTAGAGCGACCTACAAATTTGGAGAAGGAACATGAAACATAAACTCAAAAGTCAGCTCACAAAAAGAAAAACCTTGTGCAGGACAAATACGTCGCCCACTCAAGCACGTGACTCGCCACGACCTGCCTGGTGGGATTTCAGGAGTCCGATGGTTCACGGTAATGACAGAGTCTTACGTTTATATTAACGACGTCGTGCCAACTGCACAGGTCATATGTCGAAAGAATGTGATGAGATGGGACGAAAAATGAATGCGGTTTTAATCTATTCGAACGTGAACAACACTTTCCCCGAGAGCGCCTGGAGAGACTGAGGAAAATTACGAAAAACCTGATTACCACTGCAGTAGCCTACTCGGTCTGAGTTTTTGAATTTTGTATAAGGAAATGGTATTGTCGTTATCAAAAGCTGATGCAGCTTCACACTAGTATTCTGCAGTCGAAGATAAGCTGGCCTCCTTTCAGTATATGAGTGGGATCAACACTGCCGCAGAGTTCATGGCTAATAGGAATGATGGTCCTATATGCGAGGGAGAGAATAAACTGCCATCTGAAAATGATTGGCTGCAAAATGTAATATGTATATTGGACATCTCATGAATTTCGCGTGACGTTGCAATGAGGATTTTTAGCTCAGTGTATACAACTACATAAGAAAGGGGAGTTTCAGCGAAAAGTTATACAGAATCCTTTCCAGTGATGGAGACGCATAGCACGGATCATTGAATGCAAGTGTGACAACCCTCGCTTCAGCCCTTCGGAAATTGAATAAAGTACGATACTGATTTTAGCCGCGTATATTTTAAGGATCCATCGAGGTCTGCTCTATATCTGGACAACGCCAAGAACGGGAGTTTTACAGCCTGTTCCAGAAGCCCAGCACACAATTCCGGCACAAACATCGCGCAAAATTAAACTCGTTTTTTGTATTTAGAGGATGCGTTTAAATATAATTAAAAGTTTCGCTGTAACGAAGACTGTTGCATTTTGTCTGAACTCACCGCTGTGAGAACCTCAAGTCTTACATTAGTAATGCTTATTTACGCTAAATATATTTTCCACACTACGTTCATTAAACTCGTGCATTTCATTTTGTGTCCTTGAATTACGTATTCCATGCGAGAATTGTCAGCAAAATCATGGCCACATGAACAGAATCTGAACGCATTATTTATAAAACCACATGTTCTTTGCTCAGCGCATCGAAATGAAGAAGACTTTTTGGTTCATGTAAATTAATTATCGAGAATGTAAAGACATGGATCACAGTTTTAAAACTGAAGAAATACACGCCTGAACCTGCCTGTCTGTCCGCGTGTTTCAATCTGAGGACGGATTCTTATGAAACTTCATGTGTCTAGCAGAGAGAGCTTAGCGCCTTCCGTCAAAATTTTATACACTTTTGTACATACTTAGAACAAAGTGGAGGTTACAAAGGTTTCTGGTCAATGTTGCTTACAGCAGAGTATGAAATAACCCGATTCATTCTTTTATACGTGTATGCTACGTGTTCGAGTACAGATTACACCGTCAGAAAATAGAATCGAAAACGCACAGACTGTGGACTACAGCTCCACTTTGTCGGAATGCACATTTCCCCAGGGCGCCTGTCCGCGTGCATTACACAACTTGAGAACGGACAACTCTATCTCGATTACGCTCAGTATAGGACAATTTTACGGAAAAAAATATTGTTGGGCATTTTTAAAGTCTTTTCTATACAGGGTGAGTCAAAAGTATGTTTGGAAAATTTAAGGGCGTGTTCTGGGAACCAAAACAATATAAAAGTTTCTATGAACATGGGGTCGGACCTGAACCCCTTGGACTTTTCACCTGTGGGGTCACTTGAAGTCCCTGTTGTGTCCGAGTGTGTTCGTCAGTCCACCGTTCGTAGTGCTCGGGCGAGTTTGGGGGTAGAGGAATCGAATTTTGAACACCTCTTGCAAAAATCGCGAATTAGATACGTCGTAATAAACACTTTGTAACAGAAATGTGTTCTTCTCAATTCAGTTATGATATCTAGGTAAGGAAGCATTTCCGACCCCATGTTCATTAAAAAGAATAATTATTTTGTTTCCCAGAATACGCCCTTAAATTTTTCAAACATACTTTTGACTTACCCTGTATAAAAGAATAAGATTACTACTTTTTGAGCCCACCTGCCTCAACGCGCGGTTAGGAGCCAAGAGGACGGCGTCGCTGGTTTTGCTACGCTGCGTGTTGCGAGCTGTCGACATTTGCTACGACCTTGAAGCAAGCAATTTGGTGATGACGACTAGTGTAAGGAGAAACGCACGAATTGATACAGACGACGTACAATCCGCAAGAAAAAGTGAAAGATTTGGTCCGGCCTCGCGTGGGACAAACAGATAATGTCACTGCGTCACTCAAACACCAAAATAAACTTTGAGAAGGATATTTCGCTCAGAGGCAAACTGCGATTACAACGAAACTCGCTGACGGCCGATCAATGTTGACCCTTTCTTCGATATTGGTCGCTGTTTCCAGAACATTCCACCGGGACTGCCGTGACGCGAAGCCAAAGTCAATCGATGAAATCGGATACAGAAATAATCGTCTTTTCTTATTAATCACGTCTGTCCGTTGCACAGCAATGGACATTTCCCATGATGCCCCTCTGGGAAAGTGGCCGAAGGAAGCATGTGCTTCAACAGGCTAAGAAAATGTACAACAAACCTTCGGGATATTCGGTTCGAAGCCGTGGCCTCGCAAATTCAAGCATGAGTGCGCGGTACGATAGTGACTAAGGAAACCCACGTAACTTTTCAGTGTTGATGGCAGGGTTTCGGAGTGCCCCAGTAAGGATTCTGCAGTTGGCGGGGTCGCCACTGCCCCGTATTGACTCTGCGTGAGGGAGGGGACACAACACGGCAGCCTCTGCTGTTATCTGCCGGCCCAGCTGACAAACAGTAAACCCGCCCGAATGTCAGCACTGCTCCGTCACTGACAAAGAGACGTGTACCAACTCATTTCACGCTCGCTTTAACTTCATTCTGTTTGAATAGGGCTGATTCCAAACAGACAGGCGCGTGCTGAAAGGACGTACTGTAACCGACGGAAAACCTCTGTCTGGCGTCTTCCTGTTTTAAGTCAGTCACTGATACAGTTAGTTCTCTGCTGGGTCTTCAACTTGCGGCCCGAGACCCGGATTCAGTCCCTTTCACGTATCCGTAAGCAACTTGCAAGGGCAAATGAAGACCACGGTACCCAATTTAGTGAGAAGCGTGTTCACTATTTGGAAGGGCTTTGCTATGTGCCACCTAACTTGGGGGTTGGGGTAATTGTCATAAATTCTCCTGCAGAAATGCAGTGCTTGGTGTTGACATTAATGTTCAAACTTTCGGCCAAAACACGCGAGAGGTCGACACTTCCGAAATTTATTACAATGCACTGGTCGGCAGGCATCAAGATGTTCATGTTCTCTTTATTATACAGGATGATTCAAAAGTCTCCATACATGTGGGAAAATGGTAACTTCATTCACAAAACTGGTTGCCACTCCTTTGAAAACATACGGATGCATCTCTCCCACTCGTTAGCACATCTGGTCTTATGCGCGTAATTGCATTTTGAATGCCTTCCTTTAGGTGATTTCCCTATGTATGGAGACTTTTGAATCATCCTGTAGAACTAGCATGGCACCCACAGGGTTACTGCTGGTAAATTCGACAAATGCTCGCTCACACGCCAACTTGTGACTAGCGCCGCTAACTAGCGACAGAAAGGGTCCTCGATCCCTGGACAAGCTCTCGGTGTCGTTTCCTTTGTTCTCGTAACTCTTGGAAACTTCACGAGTCCCGTTCTTCAGCATTTACTGTTCTAAGTGCAAGTAGTGAGTCCGTCCTTCAAAATTAATTAAATGAAACTGGGCTCAATTGAAAACAAACACCTTACATACCGGGCCGTCTTCTGGGACGCTGTGCTGCGTAGTCTGATCGAAGTTTAAGGACGCTTCAGAGGTGCTTACTGCTTCCATCATCTGGATGTATCAAAAGAAATAAAAGTGTAAAGGAGAAGAATGAACAAGAGGCAAATGGCATCTGGAGAAGGATCAATTGGGGTTATGTTCTACAGTGCAACGACAACTTCTTAATTTTCAGTGTTGAGCCCCTGGCCCCGCAGTCACAAATCACTCAGCCTCTCCTGTGCAAAACAGGCATAAGTTACACAGTCCAATGCAATACTGAAAGCGGAACAGGCACACAGATCGTAAACCATAAGCCAGGGCCTCCAACCTTGCTCAAACAATGTTTCAAAATTACTTACAACAATATTTTCTTTAAAACCACCTCATTTCGAAAATTATTTGCACCAAACAATAATATAATATTTCAAAATGAGTAAAATTAGTTTTCAGAAGTTGTGCAAAATTCTTTACAGTAAATTCACGATCAATCCACAGTTTCAGTTCATCGCGTAACAAGTGCACTTTACGATTTGTCCATTAACACAAGTTGCGTGATGAGACAAAAATGTCCGCTCCGTTTTCCTTAAAAACGTTTGTTCCCTTCGTGGCCAATTATAAAACAGCATCCTCAGCAGAAATCCAAGAGACAGTCGCCACATTTTTCCACAGCAGTTCCGGACAAATCGTCTCTTGACGACCTCAATAAACGACGCCACTGATTCACCTCCACGCGACATGAAATAGGGGGCAATCTTCACTTGCATTGGAGATCCGCACCAAGACAGATGGTAACTTACGTCAACTGCTTCTTGTTCAGGAAGTAAACACCTTCCAACAGCATCTGAAAATATTAATGATGGCCGACCTGAGGACACTGCACGGACTTAAGACGCGGAATATCGTACGTTTTGGTTGTGCTTGCAAGATGCAGTTTATCTTGACCCAAAGAACGACGACATGCGAGTTCCTCAAATTCTTGGCATCCCGACTGCATAACTGTCAACAACTGTACGTTTATGGAGGTTAGAAATGAAGGGTACTTCCGAGCTCCAAAATAACAGATTACGCTGGATGATGGCACATCTTCGTTCAGGAAAAATTTTAGCTTTGAACACTCCATATATCCACCATTACAATGATTGCCACGTTAAAGTTCAGAAATTATTTTCGAGCCAGCAAATGCTAGTTCTGACAGAAATGACAAGACACAGTTCCTGTGACAGTCCACAAACAAGACCAATTCCCACGTTACCCACTTGGCCCCCTTTCCACAAAAAAGTTGAAACCAAATGCTGACAGTGCCACCTACAACTGACACATGTGGTGACATGTACCTCCTATTTGTAATGAGATCCGAAAGACAGCCGTTCCAACGTCGTAAGGGCAGGACATCCTCAAAATCAGTTTATCATTGTGGCATGTCACGGGCGTGGATGCAGCGGCAGTGTCCGCAGACATCTGACGTAAAGTAAAATGGCACTGAATCTACTGGGTGATGTCATGAATGGTTGGTCGCAGGCCACAAGATTCAAAATATAACGTGTAATCAGAGTCAGACAGACAAAAATCCATTGAGATCCGGGCATATGGTGTTCATCAACGCTAAATGTAAGTATGGCAGATTTCAAAAATGGGGGTGGTATCATATCTGTACACCAAATGTTTTTCTCTGGAATCCTATTAATCTGATAGATGTTCATTCTTCAATCATGTTTCAACAGAATAAAGTATTTAACAGGGTCAGCTCTGCAATCGAAACTTGGCGGTACAATTACTTTACAGTCAAAATTCTCTATTAAAATACATAAGCTTGTTCCAGCAACCTCAAGCAACTTATTTACTGGTGTCATGTCTGATTCAGTGTCACTTGAGACACTCTTCCTGTCACTCTCATCAGCATCACTTATTTTGTAAACCACCAGGCCTGCACAAATTCCAAAATTCTTACCATTTTTCCCAAAGTCTTATCACATACATCTAAAAACACAGAGATGTTGCAAAATTGGCAACATCTGGCATAATGAAATGTTTGAGAACATCAGAAAACGCTGATTTGGCTTTCTGATCAGCAAGCAACAGCACATTATGTTAATTCTACTATTGCTAAAGCAGAAATTCATAATGATAATAATAGATATATTTACAGGAGTCCATACCTGTCATACATCACGCTGATTCTTAATTCAGTGACCATTCTTGCAGGTCAGTGTCAGACTTGAATCCCCGTGAGACAAGAGCATCCGCCACTGTCAGCAACAGGCTAGCAAATAGTGGAGTTGACGCACTGGACAAAAAATGTTCAGCTCAGTATACAAGGTACATCCAATACTGAGCTGGTGAAAAGAAAAAGTGACAATTGGCACAAAGGGGCTGCAAAACAACTGACATTTTAACAAACAGATGAATGCTCCAGAATTTAAAAGAATCAGTAGAAGAGTTCTTGCTACATGATACAAGTTATACTCAGTCACAATGAAAACTTAGGTGGCAAACTGACAGAACTAGTTGAGCCATGTGAATCGGCTTCTTATGAAAGAAATTTGAATTAATTATATTATTATTATTTATCATTAACTGCAAATGGGTTTTTAACCGGTGGCAGTGGTCCTACAATAAGAAACAACAACACTATTAGACAGAACAAAACAATAAGACACAAAAAACATAAGACTCCACAAAACAATAACACGACAAAATAATGAGACACCACAAAACAATGAGAGACAAAAAACATAAGACATCATAAAACAATAAGACACCACAAAATAGTAAAACACCACAAAACAATGAGACAGAACAAAACAATAAGACACAAAAAACATAAGACTCCACAAAACAATAACACGACAAAATAATGAGACACCACAAAACAATGAGAGACAAAAAACATAAGACATCATAAAACAATAAGACACCACAAAATAGTAAAACACCACAAAACAATGAGACAGAACAAAACAATAAGACACAAAAAACATAAGACTCCACAAAACAATAACACGACAAAATAATGAGACACCACAAAACAATGAGAGACAAAAAACATAAGACATCATAAAACAATAAGACACCACAAAATAGTAAAACACCACAAAACAATGAGACAGAACAAAACAATAAGACACAAAAAACATAAGACTCCACAAAACAATAACACGACAAAATAATGAGACACCACAAAACAATGAGAGACAAAAAACATAAGACATCATAAAACAATAAGACACCACAAAATAGTAAAACACCACAAAACAATGAGACAGAACAAAACAATAAGACACAAAAAACATAAGAC